GGTTTACTTGGAATTAGTTTGGAGGTTCTCCCCCCCCTATAATTAAAAGTCAGCCCCCCCTCCCCGGAGACTTGCAGCTCCGCAGCGTAAATCCACATAAATCTGCACCGCAGACTGGAAAGAGGGCCGGGTCAATTCCCCCCCCCAGGAAAGAGAGGATGGCGAGGGGGGGGCAGCTGTGCTTTTTCCAACATCTCTATGGAAAATAATTAACTGGGGGGCAGGAAATTGGCTGATGAAGCCGGGGAGGGGGTGTACCCCGCAGAGCCCATAATGGGAAGTTTCCACTCAATCGTTTCTAACTCATTAACCCACCAAAAACATTCCAGGCTGTCCCCGACTTACGACGGCCACCGAGCCCCAACGTTTCTGCCGCTAAGCGAGACATCCGTTCGGCGGACGTTTGGCCCCGTTTTACGACCTCCCTTGCCGCGGTGGCTAAGGGAATCCCTGCGCCTGATAAGTTAATAACCCGGTCGCTAAGTGGGGCTTTCCCCCGTTGACTTTGCCAAAAGGGATCACGTGACACACACACCCCCGGGGACGCCGCGACCGTCGTAAACACGAGTCGCTCGCCAAGCGGCCAAGTTTCGATCGCGTGACACACACACCCCCAGGGCGGCTGCGACGGTCGTAAGGGTGAAAAAAACGGTCGTAAGTGGCTTTTTTTTAGCTTGGTCACTAAATGGGACTGTCGTAAGTCGGGGACTGCTTGAACTCTCCCCTCACCCCCCTCCACAAAACAAAAATTATAAGGGAATGCCACCTTATAACGCCCAGCTGCGATTCCCCGAAATGTGAAGGCTGTAAAAACAGATTTTGGGGGGGGGGGGGTTTCGCTGTATTTTCCACAGCTTTAAATAAAAGAAAAATCCAGTTTATTGCCCAGGTGTGGCGAGTCGAATCCCATTTAGGGGGTCTCCCGGGGACCCCTCCCTATCTGAACATCCTTCAACGGGATGCAGTTCCGAGGAAAGATAGACAACTCCTGGATCAGGCGCCTCCCTCCTTCCTCAGGTTGCCCAACCCCCTCGGGGGGGGCGGGAGGGGACGATGGGAGTTGCTCTCCTGCACCTCTGGAATGCACGCAGGTGGGGGGGCCAACAGGATCGGGTTGAACCTGTCCTGTGAGCGGTGTCCCAATTGGGAATAATAATAATAATAATAATAATAATAATAATAATAATAATAATAATAATAATAATAATAATAATAATAATAATAATAAAGTTGGAAGGGACCTTGGAGGTCATCTAGTCCAACCCCCTATACCAAAGCGAGAAAGACTACAATTCCCAGGATTTGGGGGGGGTGTGGTGGGAGGAAGGGAACCGTAGGGCAGTTGGAAAGGATTAGGGGAGGGGTCCTGGGGGGGTCGGGTGAGGGGTTCAGGAGCCGGGTTGAGAATCTGGAGCCTGGGGGTCCCTCTTGCACCTTGTACTTCTGTGTTTTTTCCTTCCCCCTCCTCCTCTGCTCACCGCCCCCTGGCTTTCAGGTGAGTAAGAGTCCTGTCTTCCCCCCTCCAGCATCCCCATATAGGGTGGAGAAAAGAAGGGGACCCTCTCCCCTATTTGGCCAACGGAGCTGGTGGGAAAAATCCGCACCCTTCCCCTGACATCCCCATCTGGCCCATCCAGACGCCACCCCCTTGCTGGCTCCTGTAGCAGTCCAGGTTCCATCCTCCACTGCCTGCCCTGGGCTGGAGAGAGGGTGTAGCAGCTCGAAGTCCTCAACCAAGGTTGAGCCAGCTTGGAAGAGTTTGAGGGCCTCCATTCTGTCTCTTCTGACGTATTGGGGGCCCCCAGAAAAGACAGGGCAAATTGTGGGAGCAGGCGTGGGTCGTTCCGAGCACCACCACCCCCGGTTTCCCATCGATTGGGATGGTTGGGGAGGGGGCTGGCTGGGAGACAAAGGCAGAGAACTTGCGTCTACTAGAAGCTCCTCCAGTTTTGAAGAAGAAGATCACACTGGGCACCATTGTCCATCTTTGCGGGGACCCTTTCAGAGCTTACTCCCTTCCGCAATTTGAGCGGGGCCCCAGTCTGCTGGACACCACCTTGGATGGGATCAAGGGGGAAACTGTGGTCTTGAGACCCCCCTATCCTGCGTTGACCGAGGCCTGCCTGTTTGGTCTCAAGCGCTCCCTGTCCCTGCAGACTGGGGGGAAGGGGGGGCGTTGCATGCGAAGGAGGTCAAAAAAGTCAAAAGGGGGTCCACGACTGCCGGATCGACTCCCCAATTCTTCCGTAGGTGTGTTGCAGGCAAAACCAAGCTGCAATTGCACACTTGCAGTTGCCACCTTGATTGTTTTGACTCCTAATCCTCCCCCCCCCAGTTTTCTATCTTCTTGGCTCGGTACCCCAATAGTCCAGCTTTTTCTGTAAGTCAAACTTACAACAGAGCGTTGTAAGCAAAACAGAACAGATTGTCGCCTCCTTTCCATTTAGCCCTTGGGTCTGTTCTTTCAACGTCCTCCCAGCAGGGCTGGTTAATTGAGGGGGGTCTCCCAAGGTGGCCACTTTAAGGCTTTTGCAGACTTCAACTCCCAGAATTCCCGAGCCAGCAAAGGTTTACCAAAATTCAGCTCGGATAGGACAGGAACAAATGTGGCTAGATGACCGTTATTGCATTTTTTTGTTGTTGAAAGGGTAACTTACTTAATTGATGGTGGGAATGCAGCAGACGTAATATATCTTGAAGTCAGGGAAGTGAGAAAAAAAAAAAGAGCTGGCTGGGGAATTCTGGGAGTTGAAGTCCCCAGGTCTTAAAAGCGGTCACATTTGGAGACCCCTGATGTATAGAATCAAACAGACCAATGGAAATTGGTACCTTGGCACTGTTTTTCCTAGATTGTTTTCATTAACTTTATAGCCGGGTCCCCAAACCTGGCCTCTTTAAGACTTGTGAATTCAGCTGGGGAATTCTGGGAGTCGAAGTCCACAAGTCTTAACATTGCCAGGTTTGGAGACTTCTGGGTTAATTGTATAATGCCAGGCAGGAATCCAATCAGTGTAGCCTTTTCAACCCACAAATGAGCTGACTAGGAAGTTTCCACCCCAGTTGAATGCCTACCTGTCCGTCCCTTATGAAATGCACAGCTGGGGGGGGGGGGAAGCGGTAGGATTGGAACTCGGGATCCGGGCCCTCATTACTCCGCTCTTGAGGTTTCCAAGCGGGGCCAGAAAATTCGTTTCCGTCCATTTCCGAATTTTAACCGTCTGCAATCGCCCGATACGCTTCCTCTCTAACCAGCCTTTCATTTCACAGCTTCTCGTATTTCTGTGTCGTATTATTATTAATTTTTTCTGGTGGGGAAAACAAAAATGAAAATAAAATAATTCGCTCGCGCACACGTGATATGGAATCCCAGCAAAACGAAACGCAAGGAAAAAAAACCACACACACACAAAAACGCACCCCTAAAGATTGTTTGTATTTTGCTAAAAAAAACAAAAAAAACTGTTTTTCCCCTTTTTGATGCACCGAAAAAAAACCAATCTCTTTTTTTTCTTGATCTTTCTCTCTCTTTTTTTCCCCTGTCCCATTTTTCCTTTTTCTTCTTTTTTCTTGTTCGTAGGTCCGCTCACGAAAAAGCGTGAGGAAGCGTCAGCTAACAGCCCCACTCCAGACGAAGGTATTTTTTTTATGCATGTTTCACAATCTTGCTTTTTTAAAAAACAAAAAACAAAACAAAAAAATAAAAAAAAATCCTTTTTCGTTTTTTGGTTTTTAACTTCTTCTTCTTTTTTTAAAAAAATAAAAATAAAAACCAGAACAAATGAAATAGATACGTATGAACTTTTGGCCAGCCCTCCTCCCCCCACTTTTTTTTTCTCCTTTTTTCTCTTCGAATCAAAAAGCCCTTCTTCCCTTCTTGTTTTCCGAAAACCTTCACAATTTTCAGCAGCCGTTCAATTTCCTCCCGTTCATTTAGCTTCTCTTTTTTTTTTCCTATCTCCTCGTTTTTTGGGCAGGGAAAAAAAATGCCCTTTATCCAAGTCGATCAGTAGAGGGGGATTGATCTGCCCACAGCACCCCATGAAAGCTTGGGGTCCTGTGTCGATTGTGGCTGTAGGATACATCTTAAACAAATCCAAGACTGACTTTCCTGATGGGAATTTGCACCATGATCTGGGTTTCTTCACCAGCTTTGTAACCACTGGACCTTCAGTTGAGAATAAAGGTCCAGTTTTCCCGAGAAATGCCTGGATCTGGTCTAGGGATGTCCAACCTTGGCCACTTTAAGACCTGTGGACTTCAACTCCCAGAATTCCCTGGCATTCATAGCAATAGCATTTATACACCGCTTCGTAGTGTTTTACAGCACTCTCTAAGCGGTTTACAGCATATTAATGCATTCCTTTTGATGTGTCTATCCATTTGTGGCCTGCTCACTCTCTTATAATCCCTTCCTCTGCAATCTTTCTGCTCTGGTGGGGTAGGAGAATAAAAACAGACACGGCTGGCTGGCCGGGGAATTCTAGGAGTTGAAGTCCACAAGTCTTAAAGCGGCCAAGGTTGGACACCCCTGGTCTAGAATTAGAGCATTGAGGTAGGACAGGGTAGGGAGGAAAACTCCAGCATCAAACAAGGCTCCCTGCCTGGAGCAGAGTAGAACGAGCTGGTCCTGGAGCCTCGGGCTATTTGCTTAATTGGCAACCAATTGGCAACCACGAAGGCTCTTTTGACCTCACAGCAAATGTGCTGAGCTCCTGTCATGCTGGATAGAAGCAAGAGGAATTGGAGGTCAAATAGGGGGGTCCGGTTGTTATGGAAGGGGAACGGAGCTTCCCCGGCTGGTCTTCCAGGTGGATGGGAGGGGACTGTTGGGGAAGAGTCTTCGCCTCCCGGATCTTCATCCGAAGAGGTTGGGGGCTGAAATGGGCCTTTTTGTAGGCAAAAATAGCAGGCTTTCTGTTGAGGTCCCCCAGTTGAATTTTGCAAAGTGCTTTTTGAAATGTATGGACATGACAGAACGAGATTTGTCACTGAGAAAAGGGAAAGGGGGAGGGGGGAGGAAGGAAAGAAAGAAAAAAGGAAGAAGGATGAAAGGAAGGAGAGAAATGATAGAAGATAGAAAAGAGGAAGGAAGGCAGGAAGGAAGGAAGGAAGGAAGGAAATAAAAAAGTGGGAGGAGGGAAGGGAAAAGGAAGGGAAAGAATGGAAGGAGGGAAGGAAGGAAGGAAAGAAAAAGGGAAAGGATGAAAGGAAGAAGAGGAATGAAAAAAGATAGAAAAGACGAAGGAAGGAAGGAAGGAAGGAAGGAGAGAAAAGGGAGGGAGGGAGGAAGAAAGATATAGAAAAGGGAGGAAGAGGGAAGGAGGAAGGGAAGGAGATGAGGAAAAGAAGGAGGGAAGGAAGGAAGGAGAGAAAAGGGAGGGAGGGAGGAAGGAAGATATAGAAAAGGGAGGAAGAGGGGAGGAGGAAGGGAAGGAAGGAGATGAGGAAAGGAAGGAAGGAAAAGAAGGAAGGAAGGAAGTCCTACAGTGGCTTAAACTAACTCCACCCAATTACTCCTGTTGTGGGAATGCCTAAACTCTGCCAGGTGACCCATTTTGCCCACTCAGTCCTCCAGGCCAAAGAGCCGGAGAGAAGGAACAGCTGCCAAAGCCAGCCTCTCCGGGACAGAACTCGCAGGCACGGCCAGGAAGCCCCAGGATGAGCCCCTAAATACTGATTGGCTGTGCTGGTCAAGCTATGCCTATGGCTCCTTACTTGGCCAGTGGGAGGGGCTTAACGATGTCACGAAGCCTTGCCAGGCCTCAGGGGCTGATGGGATACTCTCAACAAAACCTGGGAGGGGGCATGCTTTACCTTTCCACCCACCCCCCCTCAAAAAGGGGGACGATTTAACCAAGTTAGCGCATCACCCAAAAGGAGATTTTTAGAGTCGGCAACTGATGAGATAAACTGGGGTTTAGCCTCACCAGGACTAGAAACTTGCTTTTCCAACCGCGATGATGGATATTTTAGCCAGCGATGTATATATATATATATTTTTCCCCAGTTTAAGCTTTTATTCGGGGTTAATCCCACTGAATTAGACGAGCTAGGCGCTCCAGTTTCAGAGCGTGGGTGTTGTTTGCAGACGTAGCACAATGTGTGATGGGGCTGGGCAGCGTTTCACATCCAGAGCCCGAAAAAGGTGTTTTTTTCCCGCAGGCGGGAGAGGGGGGGCTGTGAAATCCCCCCCCCCGAATTCCAGAAGATTGCTTTGTCCTAGGATTATGGAGTTGGTGCAGCTGCGCCCCTGGTTTTTTTCAAGAGATGCAGAGAAACCCCCAGGGGGGTGTGTGTGTGTGTGTGTGTGTGTGTGCAAAGCATCGTTTGAATCGCTGGACCCTGGGCAACTTGGCCTTAAGACCCTCGCTTAAATTCTGCGGTTCACCTGCCACTCCCCTGCCCTGTGTGTGTGTGTGTGTGTGTGTTGTGAGAAAGGACTGAAATAAATTGCAGGCGTTTCAAAAAAAAAAAAGGTGTTAAACAGCAGTTCCCGAAGGAAGGTAAAATACATCCCGGATATATTTCTATCATCCTTGTCCACAGGGGTGTAATTGCCGCAGGAGAGAAGGTCGGGTTAGGGTCAGCTGAGGTTTAATTTCAAAATTATACGATCTGCAAAATTATCGGGGCTGAGAGGGGAGAGAGGCTGGCGGAGGGTGACTTGGATTGAACGTGTCTTCTCTGTCTGTGTGATTGTCTATCTGTCCATCCATCCATTGTATCTATTGTTGTCTGTCTGTCTCCATTTATTCATCCATCCATTGTATCTATCCTATCTACCTACCAATTATCTATCTATCTATCTATCTATCTATCTATCTATCTATCTATCTATCCATCAATCCATTCCACCTATCATCCTATGTTCTTTCTTTCTTTCTTTCTTTCTTTCTTTCTTTCTTTCTTTCTTTCTTTCTTTCTTTCTTTCTTTCCTTCCTTCCTTCCTTCCTTCCTTCCTTCCTTCCTTCCTTCCTTTCTTTCTTTCTTTCTTTCTTTCTTTCTTTCTTTCTCCATCTATCCATCCATCCATTTTATCTATCTATCATCCTATCTACCTACCAATTATCCATCTATCTGTCTGTCTGTCTATCTATCCCCATCCTCCATCCATTCATCCGTCAATTGCATCTATTCACTGTTCTCCCATCCATCCATCCATCCATCCATCTATCCATCCTGTCTGTCTGTCTGTCTGTCTGTCTGTCTGTCTGTCTGTCTGTCTATCTATCTATCTATCTATCTATCTATCTATCTATCTATCTATCTATCTATCTATCTATCTATCTATCTATCTATCCTCATCTGTCTCCATCCATCCCATCCCATCCATCCATCCATCCTGTCTGTCCGTCTATCTATCTATCTGTCTGTCTGTCTGTCTGTCCGTCCGTCCGTCCATCCGTCCATCCATCCATCCATCCATCCATCCATCCATCCATCCATCCATCCCTCTCTTCTTTCATCTGTCTCCATCCATCCATCCCACCCATCCACCCTGTTTGTTTGTCTGTCTGTCTGTCTGTCTGTCTGTCTGTCTGTCTGTCTGTCTGTCTGTCTGTCTATCTATCTATCTCCATCCCTCCATTCCCCCATCAATCCAATCTACCTATCAATTTATCTATCTATCTGTCTGTCTATCATATATCCAGTGTATCTATTATTTATCTACATAGAGATATAAAATTGGCTGAATATATTGATATATAGATTGATTATATTCCCTTTGAGTGGGGGTAACAACCTGAACAGCTCCAGTCCTCCTCTCTTCACCCCCTCCCCAAAATGGCGTCACTGTAGATCAGAATTCCCCAGCCTGGTTTTTCCCCCCCCTCCTACCACTCTCTGAAGCGGAGAGATTGCAGAGGAAGGGATTATAAGAGAGTAAGCAGGCCACAGCAGGTATACATATACATCAGAAGGAATGCATTAGGGCCAAGGAATTCTGGGAGTTGAAGTCCACCTATCTTCAACTTGCTGCAACGCGGCTGAAGGTTCTTTACTCCGGATTTCAACCTGCTTCCGGATAAAATCCCAGCCTTGAAATTAGCAAACAGGAGAGAGGATGTGCCAGTGCATCCCTCAGGTCCACGCAAGGACCTGTTCACACAACCGAGTCGCAGAGTTTCAACTGATCAGCATCATCCCCTTCAGCCTAGCTGGTGGCGGAAGTTGGAGGTTTCCGCCGTGATCTGAGCCACATTCCCCCCCAACTCTGGGGACGCGGTTTCTTTTAAAACTGTGGCTTCAGAGCAGGCCAGACTCCAAAGCCACAGCTCAATCCTGGCTTGTTGGAACGGACCACAGTTTTAAAGAAAACCACCCTCTTTTGAAGCTGGCCGCAGAGGGCAAAATATGGCTGGCTTGGAGAAATTAATATGTCAAGTTTTCTTNAAATCTGTTTGTGGTTTACTTGGAATTAGTTTGGAGGTTCTCCCCCCCCTTATAATTAAAAGTCAGCCCCCCCCTCCCCGGAGACTTGCAGCTCCGCAGCGTAAATCCACATAAATCTGCACCGCAGACTGGAAAGAGGGCCGGGTCAATTCCCCCCCCCCAGGAAAGAGAGGATGGCGAGGGGGGGGCAGCTGTGCTTTTTCCAACATCTCTATGGAAAATAATTAACTGGGGGCAGGA